GCTCCTTGGAGGCTGATAAAACGACGGCATAAGGAAAAGAGGTCCATCCTCCCCAGTCCTGGCCACGCGCAATCCAGCGGCATCTGGTGGGGGCTCGAATGCGAGTGATATAATACCGATCATATCAAATATCGGAGCATATTGAAACATCAACAGATAAAGGAAACGGCTCCATCCAGATTTAGGCAGCCGGCGGGGCACCCTTGTAGCCAGACGGTTTCGCGGACGTGCTGGCCTCCATATTCCAGCTGGGGTCTTGCTTGCAAAAAGGGCCAACTGACTAAACGCCGGGGTGGAGGAGGGGTTATGGAGTCATGGACCATGCGGTCGTGGGCGTTACATGCAGCACAATGTAGTATCCAAGAGGGACCTCGCTAAATGCCAGGTGCATATCAGATTGTGGGTGTTGTCCTGCCATCATGCCCGCAGAAGGCACGATAACGTCTGTTGGGTTGTATTTATAAACATCAGACCAAAGGAAGTGTGAGTCTTTGGATATGAGCCTCAGGACTGATATACGTGAATGTAGAAGGCAAGCAATGGAAGATTAGATCTTCAACATATAGGGTAGCTCAAGGCTTTCTCACCAAGAGTCGAAATCAAATTTCAGCATCTCGGACCAGCTCGTTCTCCGTACGACACAAGCCGACTGAAAATGCCGACCAGAGAACAGGCGGTGAAATGATTCTGGAAGCTTTTCTGGCATGGAAGCAAAGAAGAAGCCCCCTTGCAGGCTTCGGCTGCGTATGTGGAGAATGCATTGTACATGTATGCACCAGCAAGATTCATCTCCCAATGAGGCAGCAGGGCAAAGTCCTCTGGCTCTAAGCGAGTGACACCACAGCGGGATATTAGTTGTCGATTGTTATCGTCGGTCGCTTCCCGAGCCAATAGCACCCAGACTCAGTGTTGAGTTCGGGGCATGCCTGGTCTTCTGCAGACTGATGGCCGGCGATTGCGCTCAACTCAACGGGTCCATGTGTCTAGCGCCGGGGAGGTCTCTTCCATGTCTATAGTGCTCAGCTGTTAAACATCGAAGGGGGTAGGGGATGCTATGAAGATGTCGTGATGTCGTGATGTCGTGCCTTAGATCAGACCGAGCACACCCATGATCCCGTTGGATGCAGATCTCGCTCATGATTTCTGACAGATTGCTGGCCGAGATAGAGCTGCCTGCATGCTTGCCACTTGCGCACGCAGGCATGACCAGACATGTCAGCCCATTTCCCGTTGGCTTTCCTGGCTGGAGGTTTGCTTCATGCTTGGGTGTGGAGGCTGGAAGAAGGGAAAACGGAAGCTGGGTGCGTTGCCCAACTTGGCGCTGCGTCTCAGATTGTAAATCCACCAAAGAAGGGCCACTTTGCTGGGTCGTGTTTCTATTACCTGCAGGAAACATGCATGCGAGGATGGGTGGATGGAATGCGCTTCTGCCTCGCATCACACATCAGGGAACCCTGGGCCAATATTGACTGCAATAGCTTGCGGGGAAAGCTGGATATCGACTAAGGTCGGGCGTTGTGGAACCGGCTGGAACACTCACATGTTTTGCTACTGGGTACTGCCCTGTATCACTATCTAAGATCTCCATCGTGGGAAACGCCATCGTAAGTTGGTCGAGCCACAATGACAATGGCGCCAAGCACGTGCTCAATCTCGAGATATTCATGATGATTTTCCAGGGCCCAGAATGGTAGGCGACCTGCGGGATATATATATCACAGTGTCATGAATGAGACACATGCATCCGGGTTGGTTCCAAGCGGATGTGTTGTCCAAACTAATGTTGGAGAGAATATTATCATTATATTATTGTATACAAAATAATCTCTGAAACCATATGCACCACCAACTACCACTGAGGCAGTTGGGTCTAATATGAGGAGGACGACTACCCTGTAACGCCATGAGGTAAAATGATATGACATGATATGATATGCATTGGTGATTATTTGGCCAAGTCAAGTAGACTAGGTCGACCAATCGATTCCCGAAACCGCATCATAGCATGGGGAGTCCAGTGCGTACTCATGGCTTGACAACGCATCTGGCGACAGGTCTGCAAGTGTTGTACATTGCGGCAGGAGACGGATTTTGCGGCATTCAGACGGGACCGCAGCCGCTTCTACGCCGTGACGGAGGATGACGAAACTTTTGTTTTCGTAATATGATATGCTCTCCTCACAAGCGTAGAACTGGGCCGGTTGGAGGTCAGGGACGTCCCCACGTGAGAGCATAACTCCAGGAGTTCCGGGCCCAGCGTCGAGATGTGCCGTTGTGAAACCCTCAGGCTCGGAGTCAGGCGTTAGCTTGAGCCCGGATGGGAAAGTCGGAGTGCCGCCATCGGTAATGATGGTGGCCTGATCTTGCTCATACTCGCTCGTCGTCCCATTCTGGTAGAAGACACGGCCTTTGTCCGACGAGAAGCCAACTAGTGCCAGTCCAGCTCCAACGTGAATGCTCGTCACGAAGGAATTCTGGATGGGGGTGGCAAAGTCATTGGAAGGGTCGGCAAGATCGACTATCAGGTTGAACCCTTTGGAGGTGGAGAATGAAGGGGAGCGTGTCTCGCCTCGTAGCCGAAGGGGTGAAGATGCCGCAGCACCCAACAAGCTCAGGCCCAGGAGAATATTGTACATGATGGATGAGAAGAAGCAGAGTGCCTAATATTATGTAGAAGAGATTAAAAAATGATACTGTAGAAAGAAGATGCAAGTTGCACCTCCCACATGAGAGCACATCACGGCGTATTTCAAGAGAACAAAAAAGACGCGCAGACAGTCATGATACCACCATCAATCGCAGCTAACCAGCTAGTCTTTGCCACTCCCACGAAGAGATCGTCTTGAGGGGCAGTGGCAACAAAGAAAGAAGGTTTGACCGAGGGGGGCCGGGAGGTCACAAAGGATACCAAGTCTTGCAAGTGCAAGTCAGGACCAATCCGAAAGTTCAATAGAGAGCGGGTATCTTGGCTAGTGCTGAAGTCAATTGTTCAGTTTCCCCGGAGTGCCTGAACTCTGTTCGGGCAGAGCGACGTAATGCACTGGAACGTTTGGCCGGACTATTCCGCACCTGTGTGGGTGTTTCAGTTGAGGCGTTATAAGCGAAATCCCTCTGCCGTTCAGGAGGAGCGAGCTGAGAGACAGAAAATGCACTTTATACGAGTGCTTGCTTATCGGGGGGAACCAATTGGTACAAAGGTGATGGGCAAGGCTAGGAAAATGAGTTGTCAACACCAGCCGCAGTGGGCTGAAGCCGGTTCCCCCGGCCGATTCGTGTTCTCACAATCCTAATAGGTTCGTGCTCTTCTCAACATCAATCGCTTGATTGGCCCCTTTCCAGGATGTCTCACCCAATTCAGGCTTGCTTGCGAGCCAAGACGCAGATTTGGATACGTAGTGAGACAACGGGGCCCATGTGATCCCTCCACCGAAAATAAAGAGAAAACTTTCCTCGCCAAAGTCGTCGCAGGAAAATGATCCATCACCAGCGTAAACAGACACAGCCTGAGCAACCCAGTCAGCAGTAATTAGGAGAACAGTGTTGGCCGGGCTCTACGGAAAACGGAAGGATTCCTTGACTGGGGCCACACGGACTGCCCAATGTGAACATACGGTACCTCAGCCAACGCTTCTCGGCCCGCAGCCAGTTGAGCCAGCCCACATCTGATCAAGTTGATGGCGACAGCCTTTCTCCTTAGCGTTTCGCTGGAACTAGTGTCGGGTTTTGCATGTAACTTTAAAGTGATTCCCAGGTCGGAGAGGACCGTGGCAGGGAGAGGACCTCTGCGGTTGGTTGGCACAAGCCGAAGGAAAGGTCCAAGATCTGGAGCCAGATCCTACAGCGACAGGGCTTCGTGGTCGTAATACTACCTCTTACCGTGTGCCGAGCAAGGGAGGCTTTACGGCTGGACCGCAATCCTCTAGCCTGGGACCAAATTCTGATACATCACTCAGAAGATTATCAGTCATAAAACGAGAGGTTTTGCCAGTTGGCAGGAAGCTGAAAAGATGAGGTTGGAAGAGGCACGTGCTCGCTTTGGGTGCTGCGAGCTGATGTAGTACTTGCATTAGTCCAAGGTATCACAGCGCTTATAGCACCACCTCTATCTAAGGCTGATAATTGCTCACCATGATAATTGCACCATGTTGTGTCCGCCGTGTACGGGCAGAATACACTGTGCAATTGTGCAATGCACATGCCTACCCCAGACTGCAGGCAGGGATGGCAGCCGGGTACCTATCCTATTGCACGCGCTGAACCGTGTCATTTTTTGTCGTTTTTAGAAGTCATAGTGACAGGCATTTCAAACGAAATCCAGCTTATCATGGCCAGCTCGCCAGGATCCGATATCACATTCTGGGCGCTATATTACGTACAGAGTGCTCACTCCCACACCCACAAGTCCACGCATGTTTCACTCCTTGCAGCAATCGGCGGGGCCTATCAGCTTTGAATCAAGGAAAACCGAACCACAAACCGTGGAGGAACCATGGGCAGATGCTCAGCCCAGGCCTTCTCACTCTCCTTTTGGCCCGTATTACGGCGCTAGAGGAGGACAAAGAAGGGTTAGGTGAATTTCATGCACTGGGGATGCTGGTCTTGCCGTGTAAATAGTGCGCAGCGCCTCCTGCCGGGGGGTGTGGATCACTGGAACCATCCGCCCACAGCTGGCCCCGGCCCCTGCTGTCGGTCACTGTGGTTGGACCCTCCACGTTTCCAGCGCATGTCCACTCGCGGCACGGCGCCGGCGTGATCCAATTCCACCACGCCTCCTTGCGATTTCAATCTTTTGTGGGAAGCGCAACAGACGAAATAGGAGCGGGGTGCTCTCGACCTGCTTCGTCCGCACTCACTCAGCTGTTACAGCCAATGTGACTGAGAGTATGTAAAGCGCCGCACGTCCCCAACCTTGTGTCCCGCCTCTCAGGCTCCCTTGGTGAGCATCTCTCATTCATTTTACCATCCCAGCGGTTGTCAGACGTCCTGGGCCACCAACCATCATGACGACGTTTGTAACTCTCCCGAACGAGCTGCTGCTCGGGATTGCTCGAAGTGTCGACCAGAGAGCCGATTTGCACGCCCTCACTCTGGTCAGCAAGCAGTGCTACGACGTTGTCGACTCGGTTCTGTGGCAGCGCGAGGTCTCCCTTAATCGACCTGGGCCATTGCATTGGGCCATTGGAGAGGGCAACATCTCTCTCGTCAGGAAGGCTCTCGACCATGGTGCTGACCCAAACCAGCCTGCCTACCGCCGTTGGCCGAAAGTACAGGCCGATGAGAATCACTGGTGGGACTATACACCACGTTTTATTAGCGACCAGAGCTTCACTTCAAACACCCATTCCCGCAACCATGATAGCGTCGATAGTTCCTGGGCCGAGTTCGGTCGGGCATGCTGGCGCCCGCTTCACCTTGCCGTCACCAAAGGCAGGACCGATATAGTTGAGATGCTTCTCGACCGTGGGGCCGCAATAGATGAGTTATCATGGCGTCTTTGCGAGTGTCTGCCACATCCATCATATGACTTGTTCCCTACCCTCACCACTACAGCCGATGGTCAGGGCCAAGGCTTCATGGACATAAAGGATGGTGGATGGACCCCCCTTCACGTGGCCATATGCCATGAAGATGTTGAGATGGCGAAGCTGCTCCTTCGCCGTGGGGCATCGACAGACACTCACCGGGATCTTCGATGGAACCACAATGCCTTCAGTGAACCATCTCACGGAGGGAATATCACAGCCATGCACGAGGCTGCGCGTTACGGTCTTCTGGATCTCATGGTCTTTCTAGTTGAAGGAGGATACCAGTCTATCGACACAGATTCAGAACTGGTTGGGAAGCCCATCCATCTCGCCATATGGAACGGGCACTTCGATACGGTTGTGCCATGGCTAAAGGAACAAGGTGCCAGTTTAGACGAGGTTTCCCGTGAGACAGGCACGACTCCACTTCTTGTAATGTCCAAAAAGAGCCAGCTTGACAGCGTTGTTCAGCTCATTGAGCTTGGAGCCGACGTCACTTCTCGTTCCGGTACCCAGCCCGCTAACACAGCGCTGCACTTGCTGGCATACCCACCGCCAGGTGAAATAGATAATCCATGCGGAAACCAAAGTGCCACCAAATCAGAGGTTGTCAATCTTCTTGTTTCTAAGGGCCTTGATGTTGATACGCCAGAGACAGACACTGGGTACTCGGCACTCATCGTTGCAAGTGGCCATTGCGACCTTGATATGATGCGAGCCCTGCTCGAGTGTGGTGCCGACCCCAACTATAGGGATCTCGATGGCTCAACCGCGTTCAACAAGGTTGGCCTGCTAACTGAGTCCCTACAACCTCGTATCTACGAAGCAGGTCGAATGCTGATTGACTGGGGTCTGGATATTCAAGGGCCTTTCGGTGAGAACCAAACAACTCCGCTCAACTCGGTGTGCCTAGCTCGCGCACGACCTGTGATCAATCCGTTTCGCGACAATCCGTTCCGCGAGAGACAGTTTCTCAACCTCATAAAGCTTCTGCTGACTCGGGGGGCGGATCCGAACGAAACAGGCCGGTTCAGCGCTGGCCCAGTCTCACAGGCCATCTACAGCTGCGCATTTGACATGGCATCTCTCCTGCTTGAGAATGGCGGCCGGCCACAAGTGAATGACCTCGAACTTCTTTTAAAGCCAATGGTACTTAGACCGACCTATCAGCCTGGCCTTGTGTCATACGTCCTTCAGCTCGACTACCAGAGATATGGTGTCCTCCGACCCTCGAATGCTTTTCTGGACGACTTGATAAAGAAGTCCTTTATCCAAGGTGCTTGGCAAGCCACAGCAGAGCTTGTGGAGCACCACAGAAGCTCAGCATTGCCACCCAATGCCCTTCACCGCGCCCTAGACCGCTTCACCCAAGCATTAAACACTACAAACAATCTCCTACTGCCGTTGGTTCGAGCACTCCTCAAGAACGGGGCTGACCCGAACATCACTTGGAAGGGTGAGACCGCTTTATACTATGCAGGACGAGCTGTCGTCCTCGAAGAGTGTGTCAGAGAACTCGTTGCAGCCGGGGCTGATCTGGACATAACCACACCGAAAATGCCCGAAGGAGCGTTACTCTTCCTTTTCAAGAATGGTCGCCACTGCGCCCTGGGTCATATCATCGAGCATGATGACAAGATACTCCATAATCGGCCCAAGGAATTTCATTCCAAGTGCTGGGAATATCTCCTCCGGCCCGGGGCCAACAAGGACCTGACTGGAGATGCTCTATACCCCGCGGCTGGCGAACAAGAAGCTATCTGGGCAAATACTGACAGCGCAACGGGTGAAATTGACCTTGACGAGGAAGACTATGATCTCACCCCCATTGCCTGGCAGCCAATCTGCGAGTACATCAAACGTGGACTTAGAACAGATGTTGATCTCGAGCGTGGGGGCACGCTGCGGAAGACAATACAAAGAGTCATGTCACGATGCCCCAGCGAGTACTATGGAGTGAGAGGCGAGATTCTTGAAAGTCTGGGTCTTTCAGAGAAAGAACTAGGCTTGGTAAATGAACTGAGCGAATACGAGCAATGGAAGAAGCAAACCAGCTTGCGGGACGGACTGTCATTCCATTAGTGGGTTACGTCTCCTATGTCTGGCGTTGCGTACATGGGCGAAGTTAGCAGAAGCTACTTGTGGAAAAAAAAAACAGTGTGGGTGTGCATGATTTGAGTTGGCTGGCACACATATCATGGCGTATGACTACGACGATTTTCCTTCCCTCTCTCTTCTTTATTTTCATCATTCCTCATGCCTGGCTTGCGGCCACTAGTTTCTCTTGTGCGCCCCCTTATTGCCTTACGCTCTTTTTCTTTCCATTTTCTTCGTCTCCGCAGGACGAACAGAACAGGTTGGATGTCTGATGCACAGTTGGGGCAGGACTGGACATTCATATACATGCATCTGACATGCAATTTGGTTTCATTTCTTGTAGTGAACATATATTAGTAGCATCAAATATGCAACCCGCCGGGAGGGTATTTTCCCCAATAATTGATTAGTGCTTTATCGGTGCGCATCAGTAAACCTGAGCTCATCGTGACTTTATACTACCATGTCCTGCGTCCATCAAAGCTTGCATGCATGATGCGATCTTGACTTGTGCGTGAGGAGGTTGCAACCGGGAGATTGGGGGGGGGGGGGGGGGGGGGGCATGTCTGGGCGTCCCGGACAAACGGACCTGCCGCAGAGACTTCCCGCACTGATGCTGAGGCTAAAATCACGTCAGTTTAGCTGAGAGCCTGAGGCTATCCATGGTCAACGGCAAAAGTTGGGGGAAGGGAAAGGGGGCTGGGTCGCTGGAGAGAACTCGGATAGATTGGCCGAGATTGGGGTTTACAGATGATGAGAAGGGAAGCACGAGCCATGCACAACACGGCATTCGCACATCGAGAATATCTCCGCTCGGAGGTTCGCCAGGTGGGTAGGAGATGGACGCGCACGGGACAAAGCGCCGCATCCGGTAGCTTTGTCCCAGGATGAGTGGCCCAGGGGAATCTGGGCTGGCACAGTCGAGCCAGATCCAGGGATGGATGGCCGGAGACGACGCTGTTTGGTGCCCGCATTGTCTCCCAGGCACGTCTGAGGTGGGCGGAGGATGCTTTGGATTGCTCACTTGACTTTGGCCGCTACCCCACTTTCCACTTTTCCTGCTCTGGAATGGGGCCCATCATTCTGCAGACCAAACACCGAACACCGAACTATGTCCCCTCGCACCTCACGGCGACCTCTTGCTGCCTCCGCCCGTCTTGGAGCTGTCTCCATTCCGAAACGTAAGGGAGAGCCTCTCCGGGCCAATTGCAGCCTTGCTCTCGGCTTCTCTGGCACCCCCGCAACACGGTCGACGGTTTCCCTGCCGGCCCATCTGGCGCTGGACCAACCGCGAGATGCCGAGTGCTGTGCGAAGATGCGTACGGATCGCGCGTGGGGCAGCCAGGCGTCCCGAGTGAGGGGTTTCTGATCTCAATGAGCTGATATTGGTGAGATGAATGGACACGTACGGTGAGATGGGATCTTGCCGAAGGGGGCGCGAGCGTGCGCCGTTACTGGGTGAACTGGCTGGCTCATCAAGGTGGCACCGTGAGGAGGCATGAGGGGTTAGATGCGTAGCGAAAACCATAAATACGAAGCTCTTGCCCATGTCGAGGTTGGAGTTCTCTTCTTCCCTCATCATACACATCTGCCCTTCAGTCCTCTGCTTCACTCTCGTACTACACAACATCTCCAAAAGTTTGCTTCAAACACATAACATCTTTCAAAATGGTAAGCTGCTCTCCTCTTCCCTTCCATGTCTCCACGATGCTTTCCACTGGGCAACAAAGCTCCCCTCTCCAGATATAGATGGGAGGGAGCTTGATGGCTCGTAGCATCTGTGGTGGGCGGCGATGTAGACCTTCCCCAGGTTTCCCCATCATCGAATGGAGCTAACAGTCGGGCTTCTAGGTCAAGGTTCTTGCAGTTCTCTACGACGGCGGTCAGCACGCCAAGGATGTACGTCGACTCTTTCGTATTCATCAGTGTCTCACTTCTCCTCTCCTGTCCTCTCCTACACGTCAGCTTGCTATCATAGCTACCCAATATGCCCTGCACCCAGCCCGATCTGTGAGCTTGACGATCCCGAATTGGACCACTCGCTGCAAGCCACATTGGGCAATACGGAGCGATCGTCGATGGCGCCAGTGGCTCAGCCAATGCAGGGCTAGAAGAACGCGGGGATGAAACGCGGGGCAGCGGGGGTCGGATCAGTCCCGCCACCCACGTCCTTCCACATACTCTCCACTCCCAGCACTACAGTCAATCGAGAGACAGATGAAAGCGTATGCAGACTAACATCAGGCATTAGCAACCCGAGCTTCTCGGCACCACTGAGAACGAGCTGGGCATCCGCAAGTGGCTCGAGGACCAGGGCCACACCCTTGTCACCACCTCCGACAAGGAGGGCGAGAACTCCAAGTTCGACCAGGAGCTTGTCGATGCTGAGATCATCATCACCACTCCGTATGTACCCCCATTGCGCCTCCAATTGTGAAAGAAGTAAAACATTCGGACTAACACTGCTTCCCCCAACAGCTTCCACCCCGGTTACCTGACCGCCGAGCGTCTTGCCAAGGCCAAGAACCTCAAGCTCGCCGTCACTGCCGGTATCGGTTCCGACCATGTCGACCTCAACGCTGCCAACACCACCAACGGCGGTGTCACCGTCGCCGAGGTCACTGGCTCCAACGTCGTCTCCGTTGCTGAGCACGTCCTCATGACCATCCTGGTCCTCATCCGCAACTTCGTCCCCGCCCACGAGCAGATCGAGCGCGGCGAGTGGGACGTCGCTGCTGCCGCCAAGCAGGAGTACGACCTCGAGGGCAAGGTCGTCGGCACCGTCGCCGTCGGCCGCATCGGCGAGCGTGTCCTCCGCCGCCTCAAGCCCTTCGACTGCAAGGAGCTCCTCTACTACGACTACCAGCCCCTGTCCGCCGATGTCGAGAAGGAGATTGGCTGCCGCCGCGTCGACACCCTCGAGGAGCTCGTCGCCCAGTGCGACATTGTCACCATCAACTGCCCTCTCCACGAGAAGACCAAGGGTCTCTTCAACAAGGACCTCCTTAGCAAGATGAAGAAGGGTGAGTCCTCCCCCTCCCTCCACATAACATGGAATACCCCTCAATACTGACCACTCCCTTATAGGCTCCTACCTCGTCAACACCGCCCGTGGCGCCATCGTCGTCAAGGAGGACGTCGCCGACGCCCTCAAGTCCGGCCACCTCGCCGGCTACGGAGGCGACGTCTGGTTCCCCCAGCCCGCCCCCAAGGACCACCCCCTGCGCTACGCCAAGAACCCCTGGGGCGGCGGCAACGCCATGGTGCCCCACATCTCCGGCACCTCCCTCGACGCCCAGAAGCGCTACGCCGAGGGCACCAAGGCCATCATCACCAGCTACCTCTCCGGCAAGCACGACTACCGCCCCCAGGACCTCATCGTCCACGGCGGCTCCTACGCCACCAAGGCCTACGGCCAGAGGAAGTAAAATCGAGAAGAGAGCTGAAGCATTTTACCTTCACAGCACAGGGGCGGGGCTGGAGGGAAGACATCATCTCCCAAGGGTAGATAATTTGGGATGTATGGGCAAGCAAATTGACGAAGCAATGATATTATTATGTAACTTTATTCGAGCATCTCCCGGGGATTTTTTCGGGACTTCTACCTACCTACCTTTTTTTTCTTCGCTACCTAGCTAGTTTCCTCAGACTGAATAGAGAACTTTGATAGCGCTTGACTGGTGTTTTTTTTTCTTTCAATCTTCTGGCGGTGATGGGTAGTACGAGAGTGAAGCAGAGGTCTGAATGACATATGTGTATCGCAAAATTCCCCGGCCTCCCTACCCTGTTTATCCATCTCGTTCGATCGCAGCATCGTAAAAATTAAGCTTATCAATGCACCGACTGCCTGGAACCACACGGTGGCAAAACAAGATGTAGATTGCTAATCGCTTTCTGAAAAGTCGTTTTCTTTCATGTCATATTACAATGCGAACAAAATATACTTTCCAAACCCGCACATCTAGTCGGCAGAAATGGGTTGGCAGCCCATACAAAAAAACAATAACAATAACAGCCCGCTTTGTCCAAATGCGCAAGTGTATGTGCTCTCTTCGCTTTCTAATCTTTAAACACTCATTTTTGCCAAAACTTCCACCAAGGTTTACTGCTAATGTCCCCGAACCGCTTCGCAGACACCTTTCTCCGCCTAACAAAGAGGAAGAAGACTGGAATTCCGACGAGGACGAATGCGATGACGATGACTGTCTGGAGAGGCTGGGCGAAGACCGCCCTGCTCAGCAGGAAAAGACTGACGCAGCAGAAGACCACGGGCGTGACGATCCACGTCTTGTATGGGCGCTCCAGGTTCGGCTCCTTGACGCGCAAAACAATGACGCCGAGCACGGTCATGAAGTAAAATGTATATCCTGCTACTCCGTAGAATGTGACCAGAGTGCCGAATTCGCCAACCGCGCAGTAAGCAAGAGTGAGAACCAGGTTGAGGATCAGAGCAAAGATGGGAGTGTAGAACAAGCCCATGTCTCCATCAGCAAAGCACGAGCGTGCCTTCTTGGAAAGCCAGCCCTGGTTTTGATGTGTGCGAACTCGCAACTCCTCGCTCGCTGCACCCACACCAAGGCGCCCAAAAATTCCGGGAATATAACCTTCCTTGCCCGCGACGTAGATCAGGCGGCTGGAAGTGAATGTCGATGAGTTGAGCGCCCCGAAGCAGCTGGCACTGACAACAAGTGCAAGCACAAGGGCACCGATTGGGCCGAATACCTTATTTCCAAACGCCACTGCGACGGTGTTTGAACTGTTGATGTCCTCGATGGGCAGCACCAGGAAATACACCACATTACCAGCAACATACGACAGAATGACCAGCGGCATTGCGGTATGAATGACTCGAGGTAAATCACGGCTGGGGTTGATGAACTCGCCAACAACATAGCTTGTCTGTCTAGAGTTAGTTTGCGTGGTCAATGGCATCGGTCAGCGACACTCACGTTATCCCAGCCATCGTATGCCCACAAGCCAGCATAAAGCGCAACAGCCCAAGCAGACAGGTCGTCCGATGTATCCGTAAACCAATCCGATTTCCACTCCTTGTTCGGTGACCCGTCGTAGGAAAACCCTGTTATGGCGACAACAATTCCGGTAATGGTGACACCTATTAATGCGACAAATTTCAATAGCATAAGTATATCATTCGCCTTGGTTCCCATTTTGGTCGAAACGCAATTCATTATTGTGACGATGACCACGCCGCCCATAGCAATGCCCTTGCTTACCCAAGGACTGAGTTCGTCCGCATTGGTTGGAGCGAAGGCCCGCACCATATACTCGCCCATGATAATGGCGATGATAGCGGCACTTCCCGGTTTCAGCACAAGAACAGCGACCCAGGTGAAGAGGAACCCAGACAGCTCGCCAAAAATTTTGGCGAGGTAGACCTGGGGTCCGCCATTCAGAGGGATAGAGCCACCGAGTTCTGCGTACGAGGATGCTCCCGTCCATACCAGGAGTCCAGAAACGATCCAAACAATCAGCGCGGCTCCTGGCGATCCAACGTTTGAGTTCACCTGGCTGGGCGAGGAGAAAATTCCGGAACCAATCACCAACCCGATGATAAGCGATAACCCATTGAAGTACGTTAACGTCTTATTCCGCTCCAATAATCCTCCACCCGTGCCAGCGTTCGGTCGCGCAGTCGATGCCGAGTTTCCTAAGGGCGCATATCCGTCGGCGCCTGTCGTCGAGCTGAGGGGGAAGAGATTTGCGGCAAAATCGAAGCCTGACGAAACTGAATAAGATCGATGCATTCGCCCCCTGCCCGCAGGGTTTCCATCGTCGAGGGGGTCCTCCTCGTCAATAAGGGAGAGCCTCCGCGAAGAGGATATGCTTGGTCGGGAGGATGGGTTCGACACTTCATCGTCGTTCAAGTGGCTCGAGCTCGCGAGAGAGGCTAGCTCCAGGGAGTCTCGATGCCCACCGCCGCCGCCACCACTTGGTACTCCTAAAGGGGCCATCTAGAATGCGATTTCGTTGGGGGGCACGCTGGGAAATCCCCCGTTCACCACTCTTCCTGTTCCGGGTGGTTCGTCCTCCTTCTATTAGATTTAGATACAGCTCATCCCGGGAGTCTCGAGTGGTCGGGAGTCGGAAATATTAGAGCCTCGCGTGACGTAGGAGAGAGCTCAGACTGAGGCGGCGGTTAGTACCGAGAAATTTCGTTGCGCCCTGTCGGCAGGTCCGATAAGATGTTGGAGAAGAAGAGAATGCTGAATATGCAATTGCTAAAAATCGCGGGCACAAACGACCCTACACTGTCTATGCACAGGGTAGTCCCAGGCCGTTTTTTGTGCAGAAAAGAAGGGGGAAAGTAAGTGGTTGAGTATTATGACAGGCGGATTCGCTTCCCCATCAATTGAAGCCAGGTATCTTGCAGCTAATTCGACAGGCAGGACTCAGGCACCTGCAATCCCTGATTGCGGGGATTATGTAATACTGCCATCGTTGGGAGCTGCAAGCGCAGTCCCCGTAAGCATGTGCAGGGTAGGATGGGTTTATATTTAGACCACGACACTCGCTCGCTGCAGATAAGCTCGTTGCAGCCAGTTTCTATTTGCAGCCCTACACCCAGCAGCCGATCGCAGGATGCCTTCTGACGACTACACTGCCGCGGGTGGTGGTGGCGCCCTGCGCATCAAGGGCGCCAAGGTGACAAAGAAGAAGAATAAGAATAAGAACAAGACCGACATGGAGAAGAACCTCTCCGCGGGAGAGGGCAAGGTCGCTAAAGGTGCTAGGGAAGGACCCGCCCCAGCGGAAGACGAGGAGGATGAGGCCCCCAACGTGACCAAAACAGAGTCAGAGTTGCGCTATGATGAGTTCAAGAAGAAGCGGGTATGTCATATCCCCACAGGTCATGGAAACCGCACCGCTGCTATGGACAAGTATCTAACCCAAGTCACAGCTCCTCAAACTGGCCGAGTCCAATACGCGACCCGAACTCCTGAAGACACACAAAGAAAGAGTCGAAGACCTGAATACGTATCTTTCCAAACTCAGCGAGCACCACGATATGCCCAAGATCGGACCGGGTTAAAACATCATTATACGGCAGAATGTTTCTTTGTATGTTTCCGAATGGTTTGGGCCAAGTGAGTATCTAGCTGTAGGAATAGGACTTGACAAATATTCAAGTGACACAATGAGCCTAGATACACGTGAAGCTTGTAGCCCATACTCGGATCAATGCTATTTGTTACTTGGCCACGGCACCGGGAACACTTTAGCGGTTGCAGGCAGGTGTGTTCTTCTCGTGACCGTTGTCGAAAACCGGACAAGGCGCAAATACCTTTGTCGACTCTGGGTCTATAGTTACAACATAAGATTTCAATAACAGAAATGCAAATAATAGAACTTGCTAGATGGATGGATTCTGCCATCGCGATAGAACCTACACGCTGAAGTCTAGCGGCCTCAATGAATTCAAATATGTCACTTCAAAAGCTAGGTAAATGGTCAGCAGCAGTTATGCACATGTGAATAGTGAAAAACAAAAGCAGACAGAAGTGGTGTCGAGTACTCCCGGCCTATTACTACCTAGCACGTTAAACGACCTTAGTTCCAAGTCATATCGCGTTCTACTCATCAGCGAGCTCTTGCTCACTTCGTTTCAATCACTCTTAGCTTGTGATCCCTGCGTGTTGTAATTGTAATGCATCATGTAAATCATTTCCAATGTGAATTATGGACCTGTGTGAGTATATTACCATCCTTCTTGTATATCCCAATTCCAATCCAGTAATGAGGCTGGCTTTGCGCCAGACATATGCAACCATTCTAAATACCCTTTTTAAACATAACTCATAAAAGATTAATGCTATCGCTTTCCCCTTCCAATTTTGCGGCGAGCCGTTTGTGCACTCCCCTTTCGATGTCGCTTACACCAATAAGAAACCGGCGAAGAAGGCGGTGGCCAGAGACATGGCAATGCTGAGAGGTACTCGGCCAGCCATGCCTTGCAGGTCGGGGTTGTTGTCAGAACTGGGAGTGCCGGATGCCGGGACAACTTCAACCCAAGACGTCGAGGTCACAACGGTGACGCCTCCGCTTGCCAAAGTGCGGGTAAATGTCTGGGGAACTGGGCTCGAGCTGACTTGGCGCGAAGAGCTGGTGGATGTAGTGGATTTCTCCTCCTCTGATGTGGTGGTAGAGCTAGAGGCAGCTGCATCTCTGTTAGCATTGATATGAACAAATCGAACGCTAAGGTCAGGGGAAGAAGTGCGGAATGCGTATTCGGTAGAGATGATTCACATGTGAGACATTGGGGGTAGGTGGGCAAGGAGGAGATGGAGGGGAAAGGGCATTATCGACACTGGTCTGTGATCACGATCCTAATTGCATTGCTAACAAGGGTCATGTCAAACATACCAGTAGTTTTCAATGCTGTTGATGAACCCGTTTGGGACGAGGTCCCAGAGGTAGTAGTGAACGGGGAGGAAGAGGAGGAGGATTCATCGGCCTTTGACGTACTTGTTGCAGTAGACGAAGTTGCCGGAGCAGTAGTAAGGGAAGAAGATGGGAGGGAAGAAGATCCCCTTGCGGTCGTTGACGTACCAACTGAGGTCGTTCCTTGTCTGGAGGTGCTGGACGCAGGCTGCGATTGGGAAGTCTGCTGTGCACTCGAGGTCTGTTGCGCGCTCGAGGTCTGCTGGCTCGACTGCGGGTTGCTACTCGTAGCCTGGCTGGCAGACGTTGTCGGCCTAGCTGAGGTGGGTGCTTGGCTTGAAGACGTATTCTCAGAAGGCCTCTGGGATGTTGTGGGCTGGGCAGAGGAGGTGGGTTGTTGAGTAGTGGTTACGGGCCTCTCCGAGCTGGTGGGTGCGGCTGAGGTAGGCTGAGCGGATGAGGTAGGTTGTTCTGGGCACAACTGTTAGTCTTACCATATCGACCACACACGATGAAGGTGAAATTGGTAGAATCGAGGCGACGTACGTGAGGTGGAGGGAGCAGCCTGGCTGGTCTCAGTGTTCTGCTGCGAGGAAGCAGCCGAGTTCGGTGTAGACGCAGTAGCCTGGCGCTTCTCAATAATACGTCCTAGGGAGGATTTGAAGTCGAATGTCTTTTCATCCAGGCCCTGAGGAGCAACGGCAGACTCCTCGACCTGGTCTTGAGTCGTTCCCTCCGATCCGTGAACGAGAGAACCGATGGCATTGTGCATGCAAGGCTTGCGGTTTGGCCAAACCTTGGCCGTTGTCAAGTAGACAAGCCCGTAGATCCCAAAGGCAATCAAAGCAAGCTTCCACAAAGATAGGGAGCTTTTTCTTGGCGTAGTGTTGCCGACATTGGAAGGTTGGGCTGGCCCGCTCTTGGTGAGAAGCCCGGCCTCCAATTGGAGTTGCTCTCGATCCATATTGGTGGCTGCCGTGTTGAAGATGGGGATTGTTGCTGAGTGAAAGCTTTGGACTCTGAACCAAACCAATCAAGGTGTGATCGAGATATGTCCAGTCAAATAATACCTCTAGCCAACAAGAGGTGACACACGCCGGGGAGAGCTGGGTAGATGACTAGGAATTCTGGCGTCAATGACTCAACCCAACTACCGGGAACTAGAAGAACCCAGAATGTTAGACAGGAGAGAATGTGTGGTGGATTTGTTGACTGTGTGGGAGGCTGGCCGTACTTGTAGTGCCAGGAGAGGAGGCTCAGTGTTAGTGGCCAAAACGGGCGAGGCAAATCGGGATACGAGCTGGGTGCCTAGTGGCGTCTCTCTAGTGCTGGCTTCTGAGATCTGACGTAGGGCGCAACAGTGATCCGAGCGACTAACTAGCCAGAATATCTTACAAACGGCGGGGAGATGAGACGATGGTACGGTGGCAGCTCGGGCGGCTGGAGGGAAAGGATAGGACAGGAAAGCAAGTCTGAATTTATTTATCCCAAGCAAGTGGTAAGTAAAACAAAACAAGAGTCCCAGCCCAGATGCGAATAAGCCGCTGCTGCAAAAACGGCTGGCTGGTGATGGGCTGGATGGATGGGCTACGGCACGCCGCCATGCAGATAAACCCTGCTGCAGTGGGCCAACAGGGCCTTCAACGGGCTAGCACGGAAGGGGGGCAGGGGCTTTAGCGACCAGTGCGCTTCCGGGGAGCTAGCGGCCAGTGCTAACATCCTGGACGGTGGACGCACTCACCGCGATCAGCCAGGCAGGGATGGGGCCAGAATGCAATGCCAAAGCTACGATGCAGTCACATACCTGACCTACTGCTGCCTCCCTTTCTGCACGACTCCATGTCTCGATGCGAGTCGGTGGGTGAGATATCGCGAGAGACAGCGTCAGCGTCGGGACTGAGCCACCGCCGGCTGGACTGAACCCTCAACCCTCGGAAGGGCCCGTCCATTGTTTATCCCCCCCATTCCAGCACTGGCCGCTCAGCTGAACAAGTGCGGCGGCGCCATACTTTCTGCTGCCAATATTTATGCCCAGGCCTCCTGCTATTAATAAAAGTCGGCAGTGTTCGTCAATGGCCATGGCAGGGTGAATCATGACCGCATATTGGACGATAGTTTGTTTTCTTTCTTTTCTTTCTTTTTTTTTTTGCCTTCTCCTTTTTTACGTCACTATCCCCATGCCCTTTCACATATCTGCCCGCCCTTCAGCCAGGGCTCAACTAGGTACCTCCATGTAAGACGTGAGCAGCCATGATGAGTGTGAATTGTGAATCCAGATCAGCCCCGGCTCTCTCACCGAAGACCGTGCTCGTAAAAAATAAACAATGCAAGTCAAAAATAAAGTCGAGCCTGGAAGTCGTGACATCAGCCGATCCACCTTAAAAGGAAACAATCGCACGATGCCGGTCGTTCAGTGCTGGCTGGCTGCGCACCTCCACATGCTGGCAATCACGAAAACCTCGTGTCGGGTGCGGATGAGTGGTCGGACCAGGACCGCCGTCGCCATAACCTCTCTGTCGATGGGCGATACGAGCGAGACACAGATCGACCCATACCTACCGGCAGGCCAAAAGGCGCCCCCTGTCTAGCTACTACGCTACGTGCAGCTACCAAGTTCTTGACTCGCCCAGACCATCGACATGGATCGGTCGCTGCGAGGGCGCGCGGCTCTGTGGGAGCTGTCGAGCTCCAACCAGTTAGCCCCAGTGCGACGTTTGCAAACACATCCATTGCTGGCTGATAGTCTGCACTCTGCTTCGCCTCCCTGGATCCGTGAACGGATCTTTTCGCTTTGGCCACCCGCAGCGGAGTGCTCGCAAAGTAAAAACTGTGGGCATGGCAAACCGAATTGAGCCCGCTTCGCGCTGCCAAGGCGACGCTTGGCCGATGCTGGAAGAACCGTGCGAGTCTTTGGCAATCTTTCTCTTGGAAGACGTAATGGTTCATGAAGATGAAGATCCGCAGTTGGGCGTCATTGCTAGTAGCAGTACAGAAAGTACCTCAAGGCTGAGATGATAGACCTACGGATGTTTTTCTATTATGGTGCTCTTTGCGGAGCTAGTGCCCCGTCTACCATTGAACCAACCTCCTCTAACCAAAGAACCGAGGAACCAGACAACCACCTGGTTTGGGTGATAGGCAATATAAGGTATCATGTAATCATAATATAGGTACCTCGATGCGGGCGTGTACTTTGATGCATCGTCTGCCAAATCAGGATTGAGCAGCCGCCTACGTGTCCACCTTGCAGCAACACACCATGATCGTCAATTGGAACCTCTCAACTCTCAGCTAGTCTTATTCGCAGACACTTGCTGCGTGTCGCCGGCTTCGCTTCCCCTCGACCTTTGCCCTCTCACAGTGAAGTGACCCCCAACAAGCCATAAGCGCCAAGCATGGTGAGGGTTTCCAATCCGGTCCAGCCGGCTCTAGGCCCACCACCAAAGCCGCCCCAGACCCCCATTTCATAGCTACAATGCTGCTTCATAAAGCTCCGGGCCACATGTCTGTCAGACATTCGTAACCCTTCTTCACGAGCATGTCATCACGTATTTCGTACCAAGCATGCCAAGCAAAGAGCAGACCGCAGCAAAAACACACACGTCGTGGCGTGCATGAATAAACCTAGGATTTGGACACACTGGTGATTCC